ACCATGGTCGTGCCGACCTTGGCAGCCAATAGTCGGCCGACCGTTTGCAAAAAATTATTAACTTTACAATTAACAGATATTAAGTGATATCTTAATATTCATTATTTATTTATTTATTTATCGCATTCATCTTAACACTAGACGCAATCTTATACATAAATACAAATTAAAATTTCTAACGCTCGCAGGGATCGAACTCGCAACCTAACGCACCGAAGTCTAACACGCTAACCATTACGCTACGCTTACATGAAAGCCTAAGAACAAAAATGAATTTATAAGCTGCAATTTAAAAAAAGAAATTTGTAATTCATAACGATTAATAAATCAGATAACGTTTATTAGTTTTTGTTTAATCCATTTTAGCTAAAATAATTAACACAAAAACTTTTAATTTCTACCATGGCAGTATAGAAATGTTTTTTAAGATGGTCGGGCCAACCGTGGCCAGAGTCGGCCCGACCAACAGAAATTAGGTTTTTTACACTCTGGCTGCCATAGTTTTACCGACCATCGGCCCGACTCAGGCCAGAGTCGGCCCGACCAACAGAAATTAGGTTTTTTAAACTCTGGCTGCCATAGTTTTACCGACCATCGGCCCGACCAACAGAAATTAGGTTTTTTACACTCTGGCTGCCATAGTTTTACCGACCATCGGCCCGACTCAGGCCAGAGTCGGCCCGACCAACAGAAATTAGGTTTTTTTCACTCTGGCTGCCATAGTTTTACCGACCATCGGCCCGACTCAGGCCAGAGTCGGCCCGACCAACAGAAATTAGGTTTTTTACACTCTGGCTGCCATAGTTTTACCGACCATCGGCCCGACTGAGGCCAGAGTCGGCCCGACCAACAGAAATTAGGTTTTTTACACTCTGGCTGCCATAGTTTTACCGACCATCGGCCCGACTCAGGCCAGAGTCGGCCCGACCAACAGAAATTAGGTTTTTTACACTCTGGCTGCCATAGTTTTACCGACCATCGGCCCGACTGAGGCCAGAGTCGGCCCGACCAACAGAAATTAGGTTTTTTACACTCTGGCTGCCATAGTTTTACCGACCATCGGCCCGACTCAGGCCAGAGTCGGCCCGACCAACAGAAATTAGGTTTTTTTCACTCTGGCTGCCATAGTTTTACCGACCATCGGCCCGACTCAGGCCAGAGTCGGCCCGACCAACAGAAATTAGGTTTTTTACACTCTGGCTGCCATAGTTTTACCGACCATCGGCCCGACTCAGGCCAGAGTCGGCCCGACCAACAGAAATTAGGTTTTTTACACTCTGGCTGCCATAGTTTTACCGACCATCGGCCCGACTCAGGCCAGAGTCGGCCCGACCAACAGAAATTAGGTTTTTTACACTCTGGCTGCCATAGTTTTACCGACCATCGGCCCGACTGAGGCCAGAGTCGGCCCGACCAACAGAAATTAGGTTTTTTACACTCTGGCTGCCATAGTTTTACCGACCATCGGCCCGACTGAGGCCAGAGTCGGCCCGACCAACAGAAATTAGGTTTTTTACACTCTGGCTGCCATAGTTTTACCGACCATCGGCCCGACTCAGGCCAGAGTCGGCCCGACCAACAGAAATTAGGTTTTTTACACTCTGGCTGCCATAGTTTTACCGACCATCGGCCCGACTGAGGCCAGAGTCGGCCCGACCAACAGAAATTAGGTTTTTTACACTCTGGCTGCCATAGTTTTACCGACCATCGGCCCGACTCAGGCCAGAGTCGGCCCGACCAACAGAAATTAGGTTTTTTACACTCTGGCTGCCATAGTTTTACCGACCATCGGCCCGACTGAGGCCAGAGTCGGCCCGACCAACAGAAATTAGGTTTTTTACACTCTGGCTGCCATAGTTTTGCCGACCATCGGCCCGACTCAGGCCAGAGTCGGCCCGACCAACAGAAATTAGGTTTTTTACACTCTGGCTGCCATAGTCGGCCCAACCTTGGGTGGAAACAGTAACCAAAGTCGGCCCGACTTTGGCTGCCGACCTATTGGCAGCCATAGATGGGCCGACCTGGGCCCGACCTGCCAACTCTGGCGGCCGACCAAAATTCGCACCTGGGTATATACGTATTGTGCACACAATAGAGAATAGATTCGGTGGAGCAAAAAATCTATGTAATGTCTACTCGTCTACTCACTATCAATGAGCTACAGACATAAAATCCTTATTTTAATAGACTATAGAATTCTACTTTACTACAGTAAAATATACCAGAATTCCTACTATTCTCTAAAATAATCCTAGAGACGCAATTCCAAGTTAAATATCTCTTCCGCATATGTAAATGTTTATCTTCCATATTCTTTTGAACGCGAAAACTTCAAATAGAAGTCTTATCACAAAAATAAATATTATCGCAAAATATTTTTTCCTTCAATTTTTTTTTTTGCCTAGACACAGTAAACGAATAACGAATTGACCCTTTGACCTTATTTTGTATCCAAAAAGCAAGCATTTTCTTCTCTACTGGAAAATAAATTTAAGTTCATAAAGTCACGGGATGGATTGATTGAAAGTTTTCTTAAAAACCTTTTCAACATTCCACTTAAATCAGATGAAAAGAAAATAAGGGAAGAAAATTGTTAAATAAATAGAATATTAAATAAAATTGAATAAAAAATTAAAAAAAGAAAACGAAAAAAAAATTTATTATTATTTGATTGAAGTAATCAAAACGTTTTGCTTCGTTTTTTTGACTCAATTTGATATCATTAGAAAAAACTGTGTTTTAATTAAGAATTATAATTCCAAAGTTCTGAATGTTCAAATTAAATTTTCACGACAATAATTTTGCGTCATTATAGAAAAAAAAAATTATATAATAATTATAAATAATTATAATTATTTTTTTCATAATGACGCAAAATTATTATTTAGAAATCGAAGTTTTTAATTTTTATTTCAATAAGTAATTTACGAAAATAATTTCAATTAATAAATATTTCGTTCATTTGAACGTTTAACTTCTGGTCATCACAATAATTTTAGTATTTCATACAAATAATATTTAAAAAGTCACAAATTAATATTTATTTAACAATAGACAAGTAATCTTTCATTTGAATCGAATAAACTTTTTTTCAGTAAACCAAAATAATTTATGTTTGAATTAAATATATTATTTGTTCGAATGAACCAGAAAAATTTAATTAAACCGAAATATTAAAACTTTTACATATAAATATATAATTAAATATTTACTTACATTTTAATCAATATTTAGTATTTACTTACAAAATAAACCTGACAGGAAAAATGTGTTTAACTCACCTGAAACAGAAAGGAAAGAAAATACTTTATATTAAAATTATTATCAACAAAATTAATACACACTGAGAAAAAATTTTTTTTTTATTTCAAAAATAAGTAGCCAACCAAAAAAAATATATTTGAACTCAATATATGTTATACAGTCGAACCTGTCGGAATGCAACTCTATTTTAAAAATTTTTTTACGTTAAACAATTTCCAACAAGAATTATTTTACTTAATTCTAAAATATTGTAAAATTATAAATTATTACAAAAATAAATTATAAAACAATTTAAGGATTTACTGTAATAAAATTTAAAAAATCGAGTTTCATTCCGACAGGTTTCACTGTAATTTAATTAAACTTAATTTTTATTGCATCAACTTTATTATATTTTGTTGAATCAAAATTATTTATTCAAAAATTAATTATTTAAAATTATTTAATTCAAAAATAATTTTTAGTTGACTGTATGATAAAGAAAATTATGTTTGATTCAAAAATATGATTTTCTCAGTGTATGAAAAAAATAATTTCTATTAAATTACTTTTATTAATTAAGAGTAAATAATAATCTGCAACTATTTATGACTATTAATTTATAAAATTAAATTTAATTTCAGAAATCGCAGAATTTTTATGCATAATATGCATGATTTTAGGTGTTTCTGGGGATTTTTATTAATTTAAGACAATAAAAATAAAGAAAAGAGAAAAAGGGGGATTTCAATTAATTTTTTTTTTCATTAAATATTAAATATCTGAAGTAGAATAAATTGAAAATGAAAAATACAGTATGTAAATATAAAATAAGGCAAATATACGAAAACATTCGGACAATGAATATAAATATTTATTTACTCCAACGTTTCGAAATCTATAAATGATTTCCTCTTCAGGGAGTCTATCCAAAAAATATATACAAAATTAAAATAATAATAAAAAAATCATTTTAACAATAAATAAAAATTAATGAATAATTATCTTATCAAAAATTAATATGTAAAATAAACGAAGGCTTAAATTATATGCCCTGACAATGGCCCTGATCAGTTTTTTATTAAGTTTTCATAAATTTATTTTTATTATAAATTGATTCTTATTAATTATAATTCAATTCTTATTTTTTTAACTAATTCTTTTATTAATTATTAATTTAATTTTTATTTTCAATTTTTCACTAATTCCTTTATTATTAATTTTAAAAAATTTTTATTTATTTATAGTTATTTTTTTATTTTTTCAATGAATTTTTATTTTTATTCCATTTTATCAATATTAAGTTTCATTATTATTTTCTGACTCCAGACATCCTCAGGACATATTATTTAAGTCTTCGTTTATTATAATTATTAATTTTTGGTAAAATAAATTATTCATCAATTTTTATATTATTGTTAAAATTATTTTTTTATTATTTTAATTTTGTATATATTTTTTAGATAGACTCCCTGAAGAGAAAATTATTTAGATTTCGAAACGTTGGAGTAAATAAATATTTATATTCATTGCCTTAATTTATAAAAAAAATCTCGGACGTTAAAGATTATTTAACAAATAAATATAAAATATATTTTCTTTCATTTAAAATATAAAAAATTGAGTTGAACGATCAAATAGAACAGTAAACAATTGATATTAAATTAAAAAAATTAATTAACTAAATAGAAAATTAAGAGAATTTTCAATTAAATTTCGACAATTAGTAAAGACAGAGGAAAAATTACATGTTTCAGGTGGACGATGCCGTTAACGAGCTGGAAGGAATTGACCTATCAGATCCTGACCTAAACAAGGCGGCAACGAAAATTCAAGCTAGTTTCCGAGGACACAAAGTTCGCCAAGAAGTGCCCATTGCTGGACCGGAAGTGAAGAAGTAAAAAAAAAAGCAATAACACAGCCAAACGGGCACCAAAAACCAAGGGAGCACGCGTAACCCACATGACTTTTATGGGGGGTTACAAAAATTTAATTATTCTTTTCATTTCTTATTGCTGAGTATCTCGTCTCAATAAAATATAATATATTATTGTGTTCGATTCACTTTATTTTTATAAAAAAATTTGCGTGTAAACCGACAAAAAATGAAGAAAAAACTTTTCTATCGCGTCATTAGTTTTAAAAATTTTCAATTTCTCGCAAAAAAAAAAAATAATGAAAATCATCAAGGAAATTTCAAAAAGAAAATATGGGACTCAGCAATTTTTGTAACAAATCTACACTGAAAATAATATTCTAATTGTGTTTTTTTATTATTTTAGTGGTAAACTCAATCTACTATATTCTCTATATTGATAAATAAATAAAATAAACAAAATAAACAATCGTTAACATTACAAGTTTTTCAAAAATAAATTAAATAAATTAAATAAATTAAATAAATTAATACTAAATTTAAAAATACTGTTCATTCAAAAATATTATTTTTATTATTAATATTCATTTATTCTAAACTACATTTTTATTTTATTTTTTCACTATTATAGAATATTGATATTTTAATATATTATTATTTTTATGTATTAGTGTTTCAATATATCATTTTATTTCCATATTATTTATTTCAAAAATTTCATTCAATACTTCATAAGTTCTTCATAAGTTTTCTAAATTTCTTCCTAAATTTCCTTTTCCTAAATTTCTGAAAGAGAATAATAAAAGAAAAATTACTTTTTAAAATTAATAATGTCAATTAAAAAAAATATTTTTCATCAAAACAAAAAAATTAAATTAATAAAACATTTTGTAGATTGCTTTTACTGATAAAATAAAGAAAACGGATTTAAATATTGTTTTGCAGTCTACGTCTATTATCAATTTTAGAATGTAGTTATGTATATGCTTCATAACAGTTATATTATATAGAAGTAACATAACTATTTTGCAAACGGTCCATTAAACATAAATACGTAAATTATTTTATGTTAAAATTAAAACCCAATCTTGTATTTCCGTTAATGAAATAGTTATAAAACTGTTATGTAAAAGAGGTAGAACTGATACGAAATATGACTCAAAATGAGAAGCACTATAAGATAAAAACTAATACATTTGATTATTATAATTACATTCCCGACTTATACTCAACATATACATACATATATAAATATAATAAAAACTAATACTGTTAATTTATAACAAAAAAAAATAAAAAAAAAAAAAATAAGAAACCAATTACTTAAGACCACAGCTGTGATTGAATGCTCTTGAAAATTAATTATTATTTTCAAATATATTTATTTTAAGTTATTTTAATTAAAATATCATGTAATTTATCGATTTTAGAATTTACTTAATTCACTTTGTTATGAAACTCGACTGTGCGTTGCCAAGGGAAAAAAGTTGACAGTAAAAAAAAAGTCTTTTCTTTCTCCTACATTAAGCTTTCACATTGATCGTTTAAAAAAAAAAAGACGAGATAACTTATAAACGTCCAACAGAAAATACTTCGTTTCATGTAACGCGCCATATGCAAAACAAAAGAATTGATCAACCGTATTTACATCGAGGGAATTGCACTTTAATATAATGATTCCAAAAATAGATAAAAAGTTGTATCCTTCTTTTAAATCCATAAAAAGACCATAATTAATCATATTTTTTTTATTAATTTCTCTTTTTAAAAAGAAAATTATGCACAGATTGTGAAAGAAAAAAGAAGAAGAAGAAGAAATTTATTCCAAAAATAAAGAACATGAAATTTGAAAGCTGCACTGTAAGGAAGAAAACAGCAATTATTGATAAGAAAAACGTACGTAAAATAAGCGATCGCAAAAGATGAATTTTTTCATTCCATAACACATATAGTTGTCAGCAAACTCAGAATTTTATCGAAATTCTCTATTATAACAGTTTTATATATTTTATCTAATTTTTAACAAAAAATAAATCTATATATATTTTAAAATAATTTTTCGTACCAGAAAAAAAAGTACGAATCTAGTCAAAACAAAATTTTTAAATACTTGCACGAGGCGTAACTGTTATATATAATATACCAAAAACAGTTTGTTACATATTCACAAATTTCTGTTAAAACTACAAACGTTAATTAATTGTTAAGTTGCAAACAAACAAAAAATATATATATATATTGCTGTTAAAACTTTGTTTTAAAACTAAAACAATAAATTTTATCTCCGAATTATTTTTAAATACTAAATAATAAATTTTATCTTCGAATTATTTTTAGGGAGAATAGAAATAACATATTTATATAACGGTTATGTAATTGCAGTTAAAAAAAAACTTCAGTTTCAGAAAAGAAAAAAAATTTGCCGAAAATATGTATGAATTTTTTTTTAAATCTCCACATTTCGAAATCGTTATTAGTAAATCTTGTTCCAAATTAAACTCGGAATAAAGTAAAACAACTAAAATTTTTCAAGTATATTAAAAAATCGCCAGTAGCGCATATGCTATCTAACAAAGCCGATATATACTTTAAAAGAAATTAATTCATGTACCAAAGCATCTTTTTTTCGATGTTATGAGATGTAATAATAAAATTTCATTCCGCCGTATTGATGACGATTTATTTTTTAACAAACAAACAAAAAAATGAAAATATTATATTTTTCTGCGTTAGATTCTACAAAGTGATAATATTGTAAACATCCAGAGAAAAAAAAACAGAAACAAAAAAACGCTTGAAAAATAATTAGAGCGCAATTTTCGCGTTTTGTAAAAGCACTGTCGTACGTTATATATATATAATATACGTATATATAATATAAATATATATAAAGTATAGTTGTGATGCTGCCAAGCGACAAATATCGTGTCTTTATATTCTCTGACTCTAGTCAATTGAAAAAAAAAAAAAACTTAAGTCGTTTTCCGATAAGAGACACGCTGTTTTTAGCAGGCCTAAAAACTATGTAACATACTCATTATCATTGTTCTTTTCGATTTTCCCTCTTGATTCCCCCCTCCCACCCACCCATTGCTTTGATTTTTTTCTATTTACTTTTTTATCCCGACGGAGTTGAATTTTTGTTATTTTTTTTAAATCATTTTTTTTTCTTTCCTTTTTTGTTTTTTTAAATCTTTCTTTTTCTGTTTAAAAAAAATTTTTTTTATGTTTTTTTAACTTTTTCTTTTTATTCATTATTATTTTTTCGATTTTACTCTCCTATTTACTTTTAACCCAGAAAGAGTTGAATTTTAATTATTATTTTAAATCTTTCCTTTTCTTTGTTTTTGAAAAATTTCTTTTTGATTACCCCCCCCCCCCTCTCAAATATAAATATTTACTTTTCACTCAAAAAGAGTTGAGACTTTAATTTTTTTAATTAAATCTTTCCGTTTTTGTTTTTATGAAAATCATTAATATTCTTGATTTTCCCCCTCTAATGTATTTACTTTTTACCTAAAAAAGGGTTTAATTTTAATTATTATTTTTTTTTAATCTTTCCTTTTTTTTGTTTTTATTAAACTTCTTTTCGATTTTCCACCTCAAAATATAAATATTTACTTTTCATTCAGAAAGAATTGAAACTTTATAACTAATTATTATTTAAAATTTTTTTTTTAACTTAATATTCTTTTCGATTTTTTTTCCTTCAATATAATTATTATTTACTCGAAAATAGTAAATTAATAAATAACTATAATTATTATTTTTTTAAATCATTTTTTATGTTTATAAAACTTATTATTCTTTTCGATTTTTCCCCCTTCAAATTTTTTCCTATTAAACTTTAATTTCTTTTTTATTTAAATCATCCCCCTTTTCTATTTTTATGAAACTTATTATTATTTTTTATTCCCCCTCCGATAAATTAAATTTTTACCCAAAAAGATTTGAATTTTAATTGTTATTGTCAAATTAAATTGTTATTATTTTTTATTTAAAACTTTCCTTTTTTGTTTTCATGAAAGTTATTCTTTTTTTTTTATTTTCTTAAACTACTTTTTAAACTATTAAGTTTCCTAAAAATAACTTTTCGATTCCCCCCCTCCAATATAATTACTATTTATACTCGAAAATATTAAATTAATTAGTAACTTTAATTATTATGTTTTTAATCTTTTTCTTGTTTCAATTTTTATTTTACCTAAAAAAGTGGTGAAATTTATTTATTATTTTTTAAATCTTTCCTTTTTATTATATTTTTTATAAAACTCATTATTATTTGCAATTTTTACCTCCAAAAACGGCTGTCATTTAATTATAATTTTTTATAAATCTTTCCTTTTCTTATTTTTAGGAAACTTAATATTCTTTTTGATTTCCCCCTCCCCCCCCCTCCAATATAATTACTATTTATACTCGAAAATAGTAAATTAATTAGTAACTTTAATTATTATGTTTTTAATCTTTTTCTTGTTTCAATTTTTATTTCACCTAAAAAAGGGTTAAAATTGAAGTATTATTTTTTAAATATTTTCTTTTTATTTTATTTTTTATAAAACTCATTATTATTTGCAATTTTTACCTCCAAAAACGGCTGTCATTTAATTATAATTTTTTATAAATCTTTCCTTTTCTTATTTTTAGGAAACTTAATATTCTTTTTGATTTCCCCCTCCCCCCCTCCAATATAATTACTATTTATACTCGAAAATAGTAAATTAATTACTAACTTTAATTATTATGTTTTTAATCTTTTTCTTGTTTCAATTTTTATTTCACCTAAAAAAGTGGTGAAAGTTATTTATTATTTTTTAAATCTTTCCTTTTTATTATATTTTTATGAAACTTATTATTTTTCCCCTTCTAATATATTTACTTTTTACCCAGAAAGAGTTGAACTTGAAATTATAATTATTTTTTATCTCAATCTTTCTTTTTTATGTTTTTATAAAACTTATTATATTTTTTTTTTATATTTACCCTTAAAAATTGATATTTCCAGAAGGAAATAAATTTTAACCAGAAGGAATTAAATTTTTAATATTATTTGTTTTTAATCGTTTTTTTTCTTGTTTATATGAAACTTATTATATTTTTTATTTTTTCTCTTAAATATATTGTTATTTACTTTTTACCCAAAAGGAAATGAATTTTTAATATTATTTTTTTTTAATCTTTCCTTTTTTTTCTTTTATAAAACTCGGAGTATTTTTATTTATTTTCCCCCTCAAATATTCATGTTTATTTTTTACTCCAAAAGGAATTGAACTTAATATTTTTTAAATCTTTCATTTTTTTGCTTCTTTTTTTTATAAAACTCGCAGTATTTTTTTTTCCTCAAATACCGATATTTATTTTTTACCCCAAAAGGAATTGAACTTAATATTTTTTAAATCTTTCATTTTTTTGCTTCTTTTTTTTATAAAACTCGCAGTATTTTTTTTTCCTCAAATACCGATATTTATTTTTTACCCCAAAAGGAATTGAACTTAATATTTTTTAAA